CCCAAACGCCGTGCCGCCGCCGCCGCAGGCAGCACCCCTGCGACGGCGGCGGCAGCAAGCCGTGGACCGAAACGCCGTGCCGCCGAGTCCCGTGGCTGTGGCCGTGGGCTTCTGGCAGGAAACTACGGCCGCAACTCGGCAGCACGGGGGCGTCGCAGCGTGCCCCCGCCGCCGCCGCGCTGCCCCCCGGGCACGGCGGCGGCGGCGGCAGCAAGCTTGGGCCCAAACGCCGTGCCGCCGAGTCCCGTGGCTGCGACCGTAGACCGTGGGCCGGAAACTGCGGCCGCAGCTCGGCGGCACGTGGTTCTGTTCAAATCGCCAAGCGTGCAGCAGCGCCGAACCACGCTTCCCGGCCTCGGCGCATGCCTTCAGGGGCCCCCTATCGCTGGGCACACCCCTCCAACACCGAACATGCGCCCGGGGGGGAGGGCGGCCCGGGCTGCCCAGGCCAAAGTGGGCCGCCCTCGAGCAAGAGGCGGCCGGTCTGTGTGCTGAATGAATGAATGGATGCGTACTACTGCAACTGCATGTGTGCAGGGCAGGGCTGGCAGAGCCGGCACACAGGCCCACACGCCCCACCTGGTGCCGATCTGCACGTGAATGCGCCCTTTCTGTAATGAGCTGCCGTCAGCCAGGCGGATGCCGGACACTGCGTCAGCGGCGGGTGGGGTGGGGGCCGGGGAGACGGTCGGCTGGGGCGCCAGGCGGCGACAGGGCAACAGGCGGGGCCTGTGTGCGCTGGCATGCTGCTTACCTGACTGCGCAGTCACAGAGTCATCTCCAGCAGCGGAGACAGTCAGATCATCTGCAGATGGATGGCAGCTACAGGGCGTCACCGACGGCGCAAGGCGGTGGCGGGAGTAGCTGCTGGGCAGCCGGATTGGGTATCACCATCCTCAAGTATTGCTAGAGAGCCGCACTTGAGCTCTCTACCCCCTGGAGGGCGTTCGACGACAGCACGCCGCCTCGCGAGAGTTGTCTCTCGTGAAGCCTCCCCAACCTGAACCCGCGTCAGGTCCCCACACACCCCCAACTCGCCGGGTAAAGCTGTGGAGCTGACTACAGCGAATGAGAGCGCGAGAAGCTTGAGGGCGAGCGAAGACGCCATGTGGTTTGGCCTTTTACTTGCTTGTTCCCCTGCTGAACGACTTCTGGTGGAAGCTTGCAGCTAAGAATGATGATTCTGCTTGGGTTCCGCACAAAACAAGCAAGTGCCACACCGCGGTCCTCGCAATGCCCACACACATGCTTTCTTCCCACGCGCCGCCGCATTTCAGGACAGAAACCACCTCCACTGGAGCCCCTCCCAGGGCCGCTGCTGTTGCTACAAATGGTCCAAGCGCCAGCCAATAGGCTCGGGGTGTCATTGCACACATAGGGAGGGCACCTAGCGGCCCTGCACGCCGCCGCCGCCGCCGCCGCTGCGCCCCCGGTCACGAGGCCAGCATGGGGCCGATGCGCTTGGCAAACAGCTCGCTGAGCGCGCGCTGCACCTCTGGCGGCGCGTACTCGCAGGAGATGAGGGCTGTGAGGAGGGGGAAGAAGTCCTTGAGGTGGGCGCGGAAGGCGTCGGGGGAGAAGGCCAGCAGCGCGCGCAGCGTGGCCACCGCCAGCGGCGCCAGCGTGCGGTTCTCCTCGCTGTGCAGCTGCAGGCCCGCAGGCACGCCGCCGCCCTCGCCTGCACGCACGGCCGCGCATGGGAGCACAGGCGGGTGAGCCAGGCGGGCCCAGGGGGCACAGCCCAGGCTCCCACCAGGCGCACGGAAGCGCCCGCGCTGAGCCAGCTGCCGCTGCCGGCCCGGCGGCTGCACCCGTCCCCCGCGGAGCCCCAGCACGAGCCCGGGCGGGCGCCCCACCTGCGCTGCGCGCCTCCTCCTCCGCCGCCTCCTCCTGCTGCTCGAAGCGCTCCAGGTTGCGCAGGCACAGCTGGGTGAGGCGCGCCTCCACGGCGCACGCCTGCTTCACAGCGTCGGGCGCTGCCGCCTGGACGTGCAGCAGCACCGACAGGTACGCCTGGCTGGCCTCAGCCTCCAGGCGCAGCAGCGGGGGGTCGCCCAGGGAGCGCTCGGGGGGCACCTGCGCCGGGCAGGGGTGGTGGAGGTGGGTGGGTGGGCGGCGCGCAGCGCACGCCAGCTGGGCAGCGGCATGAGTTTGGCAAGCACCTGCCTGAACACAAACGAGCACACAACGGCCCACCCGCCCCGTCGCGCCCCCACCCCCTTGACTGCCCGCCTCCCCAGCTGCCAGCCCACCTTGTCCGCCGCCTGCGCCAGCAGCAGCGAGTGCCGCAGCCCCGCGTCCGCGTCCACCGCCGCCGCGTGGCTGGCGATGCCCTTGAGCGTGTCCAGCAGCAGCACGGCGGCGGGGGCAGGCATGGCGCGCGAGTGCTGCGTGTACACCTCGCTGCACGCCTGCACCAGCAGCAGCTGGATGCCCGCTCGCACGTGAACCTCAGCCAGCCGCCGCGCCCCGGCGCCCTCCCCCAGAGAAAACAGGCTGGGGCGGCGGTCGATGTGGCGGCGGGGGCTGCCGCCGGGGGTGGCGCCGCCGCCGCGCGCCGCCGCCGCGGGCGGGCTCTGCACGCCAAACTGCTCCCGTAGGCCGCCGCCGCCGCCGCCACCGCCCGCCGCCGCTATCGTGCCCCCAAAGCTGCCTCCCGCCGTCACCTCGTACTCTGTGTCGTTGGTGCGGCGGGTCATGCGGTGCAGGATGAGGTCAGCCACATTTGGCAGCGTGTCCCCGGTGGCGGTGGACAGCGCACGCAGCATCTGCAGGGGGGGCAGCGGAAGGAGGCAGGGTTTCGGGCACAGGGGGGCGGGCACAGGTGCTCAGGGCAGGCGGCCGCAGGCAGGCAGGGGGCGGGGCCCGGCCCGAGAAGCGCCGCTGGCGCTCCGGCCTGTCCTGGCCCCTGGCCCCTGCTTTGGCCCCTGGCCTGCCCTGGTTCCTGCCGTGCTGCCCTAGCTGCCCGCCAGCTGTGCAGCCCCCCTCTCCCCCCCCCCACACACACCACCACCACCACCGCCTCACCATCATCCACGTGTCGTCATCCAGGTGGGGCCCCGCCGCCACGATGAGGCGCACCAGCGCCGCCACCCCCACCCCCGCCAGCGCCTGGTGCGTGCGCCGCACAAAGCCCAGCAGCAGCTCTAGGATGCGCTCCAGCAGGGCTGCAGGCGAGGGCAGGCAGGCAGGCAGGCAGGGGGCCAGGTTGCGGGGCGGGGGCTCAGCGCTGCACGCTCCGCGCTGGCCCTCCCAGCCATCCTTCCCACCCCACCCAGCCTGCCGTCCTCCATCCACCAGCATCACCCCCAGCAGCACCAGCAGCACCCCCACCCTCACCCCCACCTCCACCCACCCGACACCGCCGCGTAGTACTGCACCACGATGTCCACGATGTGCTGCAGGGTGCGGGTGCAGGTGTCGTACAGCCAGGAGTCCACCTCCGCGCGCCGCTTGTCGTCGGTGAAGGTGGTGGTGTCGGTCACTTCGGCGCGCACGTGGTCAAAGATGGGCAGCAGCACAGAGTCAAAGACGCGCAGCCAGAACTGCGGGGGCGGGGCGTGTGTGGGGCGGGGTGGGGGGGTGAGGGGGAGGGAGTGCAGCAGGAGGGAGTGGGCATGGTGAGTGGGGGACAGGGAGGGCAGGAGCGTGAGGGCAGCAGGACTGGGCTGCCAGCACGCAGCACTGGGCGCGGCCGCCCGCCAGCGCACCTGGGGCGAGAAGGTGGCGCCATGGTACTTCAAGATATCAAACAGTACCTCCAGCGAGCTGTACCTGCAGTATCACAACCCAGGCATGCGTGTGCACGGTAACCGAGACGTGGCAAGGGGAGCCACGCACCGCATGGCAGCTGCCAGGCAGCAGGCAGCACGCAAAATCTGCCTCGGTCCCGGCAAGCACGCACCTGATCTCTGGCCGTGGGTCGAAAGTGAGCTCGCTGAGCCCCGCCAGCAGCGGGAACCAAAAATACATGTGCTCGTCCTTGTCGGTGAAGCGGATGCGCCCGCCGCCGCCGCGCCCGCCGTGCGCCGCCGCCGCCGACCCCGGGGACAGCTCGCCAAAGCCGTTGGCGCCGCCGCCGCCAGCCGCGTGCTCGGAGGTGCCGCGCACGGGGCTGGCCACATCCTGCCCCGTGGGCCTGCTCCACAGCAGTGGCACCACCGCATGCGGGGTGAGCACGGCGAGGGGCTGGCTGCTACCGCGCTGCCGCCAGCAGGCACCTAGAGCTCCCAACCCCCGCCCCCATGCCAGCCGCTCCCACCCCTGCCCAGCCACCCCCCAGATGACCTCAAGGCCTCGCCAGCGCCGCCCACCCACCGTATGCGGTAGGCGTTTGGGTCCATGTGCCTGCCCGCCGCCTCCAGGCTGCCCTCCGGCAGCTCCTCCACGTCGCCGATGTCTCCCTCCGCCAGCGCCATGGCGCAGAAGCGCAAAAAGGCGATGGCGTTGAGGGAGACATCCAGTGAGTGGGGGTTGTTGGTGAAGGCGATGAGGCAGTTGACGCAGTCGGTGAAGGTGGTGGTCTCCGTCTCTACAGGGCAGCGCAGCGCAGGCAGGGGGCAGGCAGGCAGGAGGCTGTCAGGGCAGGTGTCCTGGTGGGAGGGGTCGGCAGCAGCAGACAGGCGGGGGAGGATGCCGTGATGCAAGGCGCTGGAGCCCCAGCCCGGCCTTGCGGCCTGCCGTGCCGACGCAACGCCACCCCCTGCCTCGGCAGGCGCGCGTGCCTGTGATGTAGTGGAAATGCTCCCTCACAATCTTCTCCACCGTGTCGAACGCCAGCCGCACAATCTGGGGGCTCTCGTCGCTGGCGGCGGTGGTGAACACCTGCAGGCGCACACGCCTCCGGGCGCGTCGCCCCCAGCGGCAACGCAACCGTCTCGAGGGCCTGGTGGGGCCGGCACGCGCTGCCGCGCTGCTCCTCGAACACGCCCCCAGCCCCAGCCTGCAGTGCCGGCTGCTGCTCACCCGCACTGACACCACATGGCACACCGCAGGCAGCCCACGCAGGCCCCACCACCCCGCCCTCCACCGCGGCCCACCATGAACATCGACTTCCACCCGCTCTTCACGTTGGCCACCCGCGCCAGCACCATCTGGCTGACGCACCGGATGATCAGCTCCCGGATCTCCACCGCCCGGCTGTGCCGCATCACCACCACAAACGGGCGCAGGAAGTCGTTCTGCGGGCGGGGCGGGTGGGGTGGGCGGGCAGGCGCACAGGCGCGCCGGTGGGCGGTGGATGTCTCGACAGGGATGCTGTTCCCACACACCAACAAGGCCCTGCCGACAGGCCTGGGGGCCGCCCACAAACACGTCCCGCGCTCACTCACACTCAACATGCCCCTCCCCTGCCCCTGCCCCCTACCCCACCCGACCCCCCTCACCTGGAACGAGAAGTTGGCCAGCTCGTCCCTCTCCAGGAACTTCATGGCCAACTGGCGCAGGCTGTCCACCGCGTACATGGCCACCGCCAGGTTGGCGTGGCACCCCACCTCGATGAAGAAGTCGGCCAGCACGGCCCAGATGCGGCTCCACACCAGCCTGCGGGGGAGGGTGGGTGGGAAGGGGGGGTGCGTCAGCAGCATGCGAACACGCAGGGCCAGCACAGTCCTGGTGCAGGAGTGGAGGGCGAGACACAGGGAGGACGGGGCAGGGGTTTGGGCGCCTCCTAGGCACACTTGGTGAGCCGGCAGGGCGCTGGCGCCGCACCTGATGCGGCCCATGTTGAAGTGCGCGCACTCCACAATCTTGGTGAGGCTGAAGACGCGGGGGCAGGCCACGGGCCTGAGCTCCTCCTGCGCCACCGCCCCCAGCGTCTTCACAAAGTGCACAATGGCCTCGCTGTCCAGCCGCCCGCTGTTCACAAACAGGCGGTTCAGCTCCTGCACATCCACGCTGGCCATCACGTCGGCGGGGGGCAGGTGCTTCTTGTCCACCTCGCGCATGCCTGCGGGCAGAGGCAGAAAGAGCAGGCAGGCAGGCCGGGCCGGGTGGGCTTAAAGCAGCTGAGGTTGACGGGAGCCCGAGAGGCCGGCAGCAGGCACGGCTGACCCCCAACCCCAACGTCTGCCGCAAAAGCTGGGATGAGGGACAGGGGTGGTGGTGCGGCACCCCAGGCTCACTTGCGTGCAGGCCCATGCTCTGGATAGAGGAGGAGACAGAGTCGTGCGCCAGCCCTCCCTCCTCCTCGCCCGCCTTGCGCCGCGGCATGATACACCGCTTCAGCTTGTCGGCCGCCGACCCGCCATGCTTGTCGACGGGCATGGCAAACAGCAGCGCGTCGGTGGGCACGCCCGCCGTCAGCTGCTGCAGCAGCTCGAAGCGCGACACGCAGCGCAGCACCTCGGTCCAGCACTCGCGCAGGTGGTTGCCGTTCTGCTCCGCCACAATCAGCAGCGCCCTGCAGGCGGGGGCAGGAGTGGGGGCAGGGGGAAGGAGTGGGGGCAGGCAGCGAGGGAGGGAGGGGGCAGGCAGGGAGGGAGGCGGGCCTAACAGTCAGCCAACCCATGCCAGCCAGGGCACACCCAGGCAATCCACAGCACGGCACGCCGACCGAACCACACACATCCCTGGCCTTCACCCTCCCCGCTGGCTCGTGCAGGCACACGCACCTGAAGGCGCGGGCGTGCTTGAGCCTCATGGATGCTGGGGAGTGCAGCATGGTGAAGCGGGCCAGCGAGGTGACAAAGGTGCTGCGCAGCATCTCCACATCCAGCACAGACGTCAGCCACACGGAGCTGCGCAGGCCACGGCAGAGGAGGGCGGCATTGGGTGACGGCGGTGAAGAGGGGGGATGAGGGCGGGGTGGGCAGGGGGCACTTGGGTGCCACAGCATCCAGGCAGGCGGCAGGCGAGCCACGCCACAGCCCCAAAGGCGCCTGCCAAGGCCCCCGGCCCCGCAGCGGGCCAGCCAGCCAGCCAGCCAGCCCAGCCAGGCGCGCCCCACCTGACGAACCCCTCCAGGCACAGCCCCACAAAGTACTCGTCGTCGTACTCCTCAAACAGCACGCTGAAGGCGCCCAGCAGCGGCGCCCAGGCGACGTCCAGCATGGGGCGGATGGCCTCGCCGTCGCGCGCCTCGAAGAACGTCACCCCCTTGGCCTTCTGCCTGCGGGCAGGCAGGGGCAGGGCAGGGCGGCGGCAGGAAGCTGGGCAGGCAGGGCAGGCAGGCGGGCAGGGGAAGCTGGAAAGGCTTGTGGACACCTGGCCAGGCCAGTCCAAAGCACAAGGAGCCAGCGCCATGCGGCGTGCAGGTGGGTGCGGCGCGTGCGCCGCAAGGGGCGATGTGGGCGCTCATTGTGACCGGCGGTTCAGGGGTGCATCGCCGCCAGCCGGATTAGCGCGCCCTTCCCTCTGCTCGGAGTTTTTCCCACGCCGTTCAACCATGGGGCCAGTTGGCAGCGTCCCTTTGATAACCGAGCGTGCGCAGGCAATGGCGCAGGCGTGGTGCAGGCGTGCAGGGGGTGCTGCCGCAGCATGCAGGCGCAGCATGCATGGCTGGAGGGGGCTGTGCCTGCCAGCCACGGCGCACACGGCCTCCCACGCGTCCACCCCGGCTCCTCCACCCCCCAGGCCACGCGCCTGAGGTGCTCGTGCGTGCGGCGGATGGCCTCGTCGTTTGGCTCCGCCGACGCCGCCTTGGCGCGGCCGGGGATCAGGTTCATGATTGTGTCCAGCCAGCCCACGCCGGCCGCCGCCGCCGCCGCCGCCTTGGCCGCGTCGGCGCCGCTCAGCGCCATGGGGTCGTCCTTCATCTTGATCTCGTTGTGGATGATGCGGTCGTACAGCGCCTCCATACACTCCTGCGCCAGGTCGCCTCCGTCGTTGATGCCGCGGTTGTTGCGCAGGAAGTCGGCCTTGGACATCTTGTTCTTGACCTGCGGGGGCGACAGGGGCAGGGCAGGGCAGGCAGGGCGGGGCAGGAATGGCGGCACGGCAGCGGCAGCAGGCGCGAGGGTGTGAGTGGGGAGTGCAAGCGGGGCACCGGGGCGAGAGCCGTGCGCAGGCCAGTGCATGCCCAGCCCCGCGCCGGCCACTGCCCCCTCCCCCTGCCGCCCACCTGGTTGTTGTGTGCGTCTGTGTTGAGCATGATGACTGAATAGGCCAGCACGTACGCCACGTCAGCAGACTTGAACGACTCGGGGTTGCACGACAGGAAGCGCTCGGCAAACTTCTCCATCAGCCGGTCGATCTTCTGGGCCTCGCCCGGCAGGCGGAAGCCAGACAGGAACTGCCTGCTCGCAGCGGGGGCGCAGCGGGGGTGGCGGTGGCAGGACACAGCGAGGTGAGCGTGCGTGTGTTGGAAGGGGAAGGGGAGATGGGCCGGAGAGATGCGCAGGCACCCTGGGCCCCTCCTCCCCTCCTCACCACCCTCCGGGCTGCCAGTCCGCCCCCTGCGTGCCCCCCCACCACCACCACACACCCCACCTGATGGCCTCGTCAAACTCCATGCCCGCAAAGTCCAGCGCATCCACGTAGCAGTGCATGACGCCCAGGTTGAAGTCGTCGCGCTCGCCCAGGTAGTCGCCAATCAGCGTCTTGCTGTGGGGGGCGTAGAGCCAGGGGATACAGGTGAGGGCGGGCTAGGGTGGGATGCACATGCGAGGGTGGGGTGCTGTGC